CTCTCTCTGGTTCGCTCAGTTTACATGCAATTTTATCAGCGGTGCAAACTGTATAGTAAACCGTTAACAGAAAGAAACATGCAGGTGTGTGTGTGTGTGACACCAGATGAATGAACTTTATTCTACCGAAGCGGAAAAAACGACTTGTTGGAAATCAAGTGAACGATGACGTAATACGATTGCGATCCAAACATTCCAATCACACTGAACAGAACGGTGTGCGCCACCAACACTATCACCACCAACAGCAGCAACACGCATCCGCACTATCGCCAGTCGTCAATCTGTTCTGCGATAGCTCAAAAACATGCTGATGCAGCATGCGCGCGCGAGCACTGTTGAAACAACGTGATGACAAACCAATCGAAACAGGGGAGAGAGAGAGAGAGAGAAAACAACGCATCCAGCAAAGATGATCGCATAAAAGAAACTTACCACCTGATTTAGCAACGCCGTTTGTAACAAACAGCACAGAAAATCATTCATATTGGTGTTCGATTGAGCGACAAGATTGCCCAGATCCTGCACCATACCGGGTAGATTGACTGCGCTGTTCAGGTTGGAATTGGTTAATTGTTTTGGGTTGTTGTTGTTGTTGTTGTTGTTCTCCCCGGGGTCAACAGTCGTTCGCACTTCTTCTGATCGGGTAAACTGGGGTTGCGAAGAGGAGGAGGAGGAGATACGTAATCCGGATGAGGGTCGTTGTAGAGAATCAGTGAGGGCTGAGATCACAGTCACGTGATTGTCAACTGGGGATTCGACGGCTGAGATAAGAGAGGGGATATGATTAACATCACTGCTATTTGTGTTTGTGTTGTTGTTGTTGTTGTTAATGATGGTGGTATCGCTGGAAGCGTTGTTAGCTAGAATGGAAGTGGTACTACTGCCAAGCCTGTCCCCGGGGACTGTAGCAGCGAAGGTTGTTAGGGATGAAGGAACGGAAGACGATGAGGAAATCGTCGAAGCAGAACTAGCGGGTAGGGTGCCAACAGTGCGTAACAGCTGGAGCAGTTGGGCGTTTGATGTTCTCCCTATAGGCACAACTGTTGGATTATTGGTCGGCAGTACATTATCTGTCGAGATGTCATCTCTTTGCGTAAAGCTTGAAGCCAAACTAGTCAAAAGGGCACCCAAACTGGGATTGGAATTCAGGTTTGAAGTGGCAGTGGTGGTAATACCCGAATTGAGTAAGGGCAAACCGGCTACACTTTGTAAAAAAGTGGCCGGTGGAAAGGAAGCTAACGAGATCGGTCGAATACAAGGATCAGGATCCAGTTTAGGCATAAGACATGCCTGAGATAGAAGTTCGTTTGCAGAAGCCAGCTTGGGATCCGAGAAATTGATCCGAGTTGTATTCGGCGTATTTGCTGCTGCAGCGGCGGCGGCTGCTGCTGCTGCGGCAGCGATATTCAAAGACAAACGATCCGTTAGATCAGACGGTTGGGAAGCATTCAACGTGGACCGCAGAGATTGCTTATTGCTCGAAATTGTTACTGCTGTCTGCGGTTTGGATAAAGCGCTTGTGTTGGCACAGTTGTTCGAACTTGTTGAGGTGGCCATACGCGGCTGCTTAGGATAGCGCGACCTGAGAGTGGATGCGTTTCCAGCTTTTATCAGACACAATTTTGATGATGATGATGTGTAGGTTGTCCTAATCCACAAATTTTGATATTAGGTTCAGTTGCCCGGCTAAAACAAGGGATGGAAACAGGAAAGAAACATTTAAAATGTGCGTTAATCATATAGAAGAATGTTTGGCATAAATATTATTGAATGAAATGTGCAGAAATTATTGTCTAGAGTCGATCACGCTAAGGAGGGAAGTGATCTAAAATCAATGATCCTCTCACCCGTGCAAGCACACACATTACATTGTATCAAAGAAGTTCATTTAAATATGAGCACAGGAGTGATTGAGAAGAATCATGGCTGTATCAGTCCTGGACATCGGTCTCCGTGAATCAATCGATCAAGAACCACAACAGAAAACTTCTGGAGTCAACCATGAGTGAGTGAACCTTTGAACGTCATAAATGTAATGGAAATAAAAATACCAAATCCTCAAGCAGAAAACAAGTGTATAATATATAAGGATAAGTGTAGATAAATCACTGCTTATCTGGAAAAGCCCCGCGACCAAAGCTGTGTGTGCGCGAACACAGTCAGCTACTTGGTTGAACGAATGGAACAAACTTCACAGGTTCACAAGAGCTGTGACTCCATTCAACCTGTTGTACAGTGCAACTGCTCGATCGCTTCACATCACGTCCTACCCTCTCCCCACCTCGGGTAGATATTTTCGAATCACCAACTACTGCTGTGGTCAGATTGGTGTCCACAAACAGACAATGGTGTAGTAGGTGACACACACACACACGGGTTTCGAGGAGGATCCGACAAGTTGTGACGACGTCTGGGGGAACATATGTATGTTGTGTAGGGAACAATTATCTTTTCATTCTCTGAATGATAACGTAGCTATGCAGTCCGTTTCTACCAATCAGAACAACCGATTACTTATATCTACGAGTAGTGTGTTGAGGTTAAAAAGTTGTATGACAAGTTCTAGCGAGTAAAACAGATCGATCAATCAACTTTGATCTCTGACACAGAGAGGGTGATTGGTGTTGCTTATCACGTCCAATCAACTTGTGGTGCAAGTGTTACCCCAAATGGACGGTTAGGGACAAATAGCAATCATGATTTTCTGATGTGACGAATGGAGGCCTGAGCATGAAGAGACGAAAAAATTGCCGTTCTTACGATTTAGCCATGAAACAAGCGTTTCTTTCTCACGGTACTTCACTGAGCAAATAGGAGTTTCACAGTATGTTCCATTTTTTGAGTTGCGACAACAGTGTTCAGATACTAGTGCCCATTGTGATCGCATCGAAACAGAACATGTCAAAAAGATCAGCAGTATCATTCAATTACCCAATCCAAGTAAGAAGCGGGCTCATGGTATGAATGCGAAGGAAGCGCCGGGTGGAATCACAAGGGTGACAAGAACGTTTATAATTGACTTACACCCGAATAGCCAACCCTAGCTTGCTTTGTATCACTTATTGACATTGTTTCAGGT